AGTTGCACCAGTAATCGAGGCTTCTTTTCCTCTTGCCTCTTGCCTCATCGCATCCACATCCATTCACATTTCTCCCTCAGCGTTGCTGTTCCATTTTGAAACTGTTAACGGTGTTTAGTGGATGATGCAACACCTCGCAGCCGTAATGTCCCCAAAAGAACTAGGAGAAGCAAAGCAAAGGAGACTAAGAGGCTCTTGCACAGTGCCAGCACAAGCATAAACAAAGATGCAACCCAAAAATGGTAAGAAAAAAGAGTTTGCTTTGCTGCTTGCTGCTTGCTGCTTGCTGTTTTGTGTGTGTTTTTCTCACCTCGAAGGAGTGGAGGCAATCAGTGCACCCACCACCGGCAAAACGTTAACACTTGTTTGGCCAGCTAATCGCCGCGGCTTCAATTTGAAAGGCAGCCACCAGCCACCAGCCAGCAGCCAGCACCAGGCTCCACAAGCGGAGAAGGAAGAGCTGTGGCAGGCACAGTTTTAAGTAGAATTAAGCATCCACAGGCATGAGTCAACTTGCTTCCTTCCTTTGGCAGAATACCTTTGCTTTTGGCTTTGGTTTTTGGTTTTTTGATTTGTGTGGCTTAATAAAATACCAAGAAGTCGTCGCCATCGCTGGGGATCGGGCTTGGAGGATTGGAAGATTGGGAAACAATGAATGCTTCCGCCGCGCTGTCAATGATTCTACCCCGAAAGAGCCGCACAAAAAATAAATAAAGATTCGTGTGTGCCGTGCCGGTGATTTATGTGGCTCGTTTTTGGCCAATTTTCGTTTTTAGTCCAGAGTTAAATAATGCTCTTCCGAGAACAACAAACTCCGCTTAAACAACAAATCGAAAAAGCAAACGGAAACACACACAAAATCTCCTCCTCGCTGCACATTCTCCCTCCATCTATGGGTCATGGAGGGGCCTTGAATATGCATAAACTATTTATAAAGTATTTATTATTATTTCTACATATCCTATTCATAATTCGTTAATTGTCATTGTGGTCGAAACTCTTGATTTCTGATTTCTGATTTCTGATTTCTGTGGGAGCTAACATGTTGATTTTCTGGGCAATCAACTTGATTAACTGCCAAAATTGTTGCGGGCTGCGGTTAGGGATTGATTCAGCAGACGGCAGAGAGGTTCTTTGATCTCAAGTCTGAGCTATAAATCTGTCGAGCATACATCACGACGTGTTATGAAGTGTTATTAATGCAAGTTTCTTAGCTAATCATTGCGCCAGAGCTATGATATAAGCGAGTCCAGGCAACTTTCGTTCTGTTCTGTACCCAAGCAAATGCACTTAAATTTCTCTATAATATTTACCCCCATTTGAGCTACAAAATGTTTGCCCACTGTGATCACTGTCGATATTCGAATGCCTTTCAAAAATCCAAATCCAAATCCAAACCAAGTTCGCTGTTGAAGTCTTTTGATTGCAATTGTGAGAGACAAAAAGGTTGCTCCGATTCGGAGCTCGATTTTCGTGGATTGTGTAGTCAGTTTTTTGGACAATAAACACATTGCAACGATGTTATCAACTAGCCAACAACATGGCCACCTGCCAGCCACACCCCTTTTCGGCCCAAAGCCGTAGCTGGAGCCCGTGTTGTTGGGATTATTACGGGGCGTATGCCCCACTGATTAGCTGTTGCCAATTTTTGCCGGCAATAAAAATTAGTCGCAAGGCACGAATGTGGATGTGGCTATGGATTTGCTCTCCGTTGTTTTGTTCGATTTTGGTTCTGCTTTTCAAATTTCAATTCGAGCAATTCGAATGCAAAATTGTGTCTTTTGGCCGATTTTTAGTTGCTGGCTGCCAATCGAATGTTAATTAATTACGATTTATTGACTAAATTTTGTTGATTAGACAATTGACGTCTGTCCGAGTTGGCCATTGCCTCTATTACCTGTTGCCACACAGTTTGCCCGCCGCTTGCCACAATTGTCGTCGATTAATTTTGTTTTGATTTTGCTGATTCGATACGCCGCCTTGCAGGTGGCATTGGGCTGCAGATTTCAATGGTTTCTATTCACATGAAAACTGCTTCCAAATCAAAGCAAAATCAATCATTAATTACATGAATGAATCGATCAAATGGACGACTATTATTTTCGGGGGAAAGAAAGGAAAAGTTCAAGCAATTTTGAGATAATTTTTTCAAATGGAAATTGTTGCTCTAGGACCTGTATTTGTTACCCACACAATCCTGGCAGTCAGAGATCTAGAGATCATTGCTTTCTCGGTTCTAGAGGCAAGGGGGGTAACCATTCGAAATTCCAATTCGCTGCGGCAGTGCCAAGATATGACTGACAAGTGTAAGGCAGAAAATTTCCATAGGTCTTCGGTGGAGTGCCGCTGCTGGTGTGAAATTCTCGGCTGGCCGCACTTGTGGCCACATCTTTGCCGCATCAATCAACGGCGGCAGCTTAAATGCTGCATCATGACAAAACCATTACACTTGACCAGGCTCAAAGTGCACGGGCAGGAGGGAAAAACGGGAGACACAGACAGAACACAGAGACAGAGACAGAGACCCTGAAGAGAGTCGGCAGATGCTCAGATGACTGGGCTCTTGGCCGTGATTGATTGATTGGCAGCGTGAGGTGAGCCTGGGCAACCCCCGACTGATGCTTTTGTCTAAAAGCCGTTTAGAATAACACCAAAAACGAGCAGAGCTAGAGTCTGTGCCGGCCGGACTCCGGCCAGCAGCGCAGAATTATTCATTGTATTGGGAGAAAAAGAGGAACACAAAAAGATTCTTTAATCTTTACTGCACTTTGGCTTTGGCTACACTCGGAGAAAACTTTTGCGCAACCCTGGCAACCCTTTTCTCACCGTGTAAGGGTGGGGGAGTCGCCCGTACTGAAGGATCACCAGCGCCGCCAGCCGTCGAGTTGATTGCGCCTTCATTATTATGCCAAACTGTGCGCTGGCATTCGTTGAATTTGGCTTTTGCAATTTGCTCTCAATGCCCAGCGTCGACCATTACCAGACAGACTCCTTCTCCTTCTCCTGCACCGTTTTGGGGGCATTAAAAATGAGCTCAACGTAACAGGTGGATGCCGGGTGCCGGGTGCCGATGCCGACGATGCTCGACGTGATTTTCGCCAAATCGTTTAGATTATTTCGAGATTGCTTGCGCCAGTCCCTCCTCGAGTCTCGGCAGGCACTCCTTCACTCCACTCCAAAGTCCGCACCTTGCATTTGAACTTGAAACATTTCATTTTTTGTTGCTCTCTCTCTCTCTCTCTCTCTCTGTTGTAGCTGGGGGCGCATCCAGCAACCAATTCCTTGGCTCAAGCCCGATCGATTAGTGGCATTCTATTGCGTTCAATTTTCCATGCGCAACATTGAAGCGAACGTCGCAGTCGCAGTCGCTGCCATCTCCATCGCCGTTGCCGCTGGCACAATAAACACGCGATTTATTTCATGCCAAGCATCCAAGTGCCGCCTCAGTCGGTCAAAGCCGAGGAGGAGCTCAGTCAGAGTCCCAGGTCCCAGGTCCCAGCCTGGACCGGACCGGACTGGACTGGACTGGACTGCCTTCCCTTGCCTTTGCCTTGTGGTATGTGATAATGGGATGATGGTATGATGATGCATGGCCAGCATACACAACAACAGCAAGCAGCCTGAATCAGTGGAATACAAGGGGAGCAGCCAGGACACACACACTGAGCATTGAATGCTCTATGGCAGAGGGACATACCCATTCACCGTCAGCCACTTGCACTTCATAGTGGGTAAGATCTCCTGTGCCGTAGAGTATTCACAACAGTAATAATAGCTGCCCACTATTCGATTTTTTGTTGGCTCTTTAACTAGCGATCCAAGGTTAGTCGGAGTCTTTTGCTGGCAAGCTGCAACAACTATTGGCCGTGCGAGGCTTACTCTGCCGCATTTTAGTCGGTAATTGCTTGTGATGTATGATTTTGAGTTCTAGTTTTCCAGCCCGACTCCACTCTTGCTCGGCCTGGGAATATTTCTGAGCTGGACGGAGCTTTTGTTGTTCGCCTGATGGCTGACGATGCCTATATATGCGGGCGATGTATGTTACATATGTGGGGCTGCCCAGCTACAGGTATTAGCTATAGCCATAGATATTGATTTGACAGGCTGTGGCTTGAGTCTTGTCACACTTTCTAAGCCAAAGACAGATCTAGATCCAGATCCAGCGAGCACTTTCACCCAATTAGAGCATGATATGACCATGGCCATAATCCATACATAAATATCCACATTGGATTTATGCAAAATATGCAAAATATCTCAGGCTGAGACTGTGCTCCCTGCCCGATGACAATCTTTTGTTTTCACTTCTGCAGAAACAAAAGCCATAAAGGATAAATTGTGGGGCTCTGGCTCTCCTGTTTGGTAGCCGCGCATTGAACTCTTGGCTTCGACAAGTGCACAGCGGGGCGTCCCGGCCGCAGAAAAGAAAACAAAAACAGAAACAGAAACAACCGCGGATACCCCTGTCATAGTGCTGGCAATTTTGTTTTCATTGTGAACTAAATGGAATTGAGCAAAGTGATCGTATCGCTGTATTGTTTGCCTTTAACAATTGGGCCAAGTCTCCGAGCTTCTATCTATGCACATGATTGATTGAGAGCTGCGGGAGAAGAGAACCAAAGAGCCAGAGATCGTCAGAGTTCTTTACATGAAAACCATTTCTCCCCCGCCACTGCCGAGGTGACGTTGAGCTATGCGATGTCTTCTCGTCGTCGTTGTTGTTGCTTTTGCTTGTGCTTTTCATGCCATTTCGATACGGGCCTCATTTTTCTTGCCACAATTAAGAAGAAAGTTGGCAGCAATTAGAAAACGCACATCGATCAAAACTGACCGACAACAAAACGTCATGCCCCATGCCTAGCCACCCGCACACCTCCACCTCCACAAGCTGCAGGTGACGAGGGGCTGGAGGCTGCACATCAATATAAGTTGGGCAGACAGTTGTGTTGTAGAATAAGTAGTTGCCTTTTCGAGCAGTTTCATTTGACCCTTACTGGAAACATTCCAAATTCCAGCAGCAGAGAACACAGCTCCAAGCACGTAAAATGTCCGAGACCAGCTCAAGGAAGGACCTTCGGCAGGAGCTTAGCCGCGCCTCGCGGCAGATAAGTTTCAACTTTTGGCAGGAATTCGAGCGGATTCGCGCCATCCAGCTGCAGCGCCTGCTGCAGGAGCGGCAGGAGAGGAAGCGAATCAACACGTTGGTGAGCGCTGCCGACACGGAGACACGTCAGTTGACGGAGGCACTGAGTCGATCCATACTGTCCCAGGGCAAGAGCCTGGAAGCGATGCCCTTGCCGGACACCAGCATTCCCGCTCCAGAGGCAAAGCCAAGTGCGCACAAGCTGCTGCCCTTAGGCGCTAGAAAGGCGGTTCCAGGTGGTCCGCTGCCCATCAAACATCGCGCACAAAATCAGCGCCTTCAAATGGCCAACAAGTGCAAGGGCACAGCTCAAGCCAGTTCTAAGCCGGCCACAAAGATCTCTGCGAATCCATCAAAGGGCGCCAAGTCGCTCGCCAGCTCGAAAACTGCTCCAGATATTTCGAAGAGGAAAGTCTCAAGGACCACAAGGAGAAATTCGACTGCATAACGGACTCCCCAACCTAAAACTAATATTTTCGTGCTGTTTTAATGTTAAGATTAATCGCGTTGGTTAAGTACTTCTTTGTGGGATTTGTGGCCCGCATAAAGCTCATTCGTAGCCCACTGACGAATGCCACCCTGTGGGCACTTTGCTGTACAAATTCCGACTAAAACATACACAAAAAATCAACTTGGACACGGAAAAAACTTGCAAATTAATTAACGGTACACGGGCCCCCATGCTCTCCGCGGAGGAGCCAGACACGCACTCCAGACACCTGAGTAATCAACATTATGTGGGCATGGCATGGCGATGGTGATTGTGATGTTGTTGTTACTTTTCGATAAATCACGGATAAAAAACAATCAACGAAAATGTAGCGTTATTCATCACAGGTGGTAAATATTTCAAGCCGAGGCTGACAACAAACGCGCGCCGAGCACAAAAGTAAATTCATGGCAGGCCCAGGTCTGAGTCTGAGTCTGAGTCTGAGTGTGGCTGCTGCTCTCCGATTTCCGATACTTAGCAGAGTACGGATTTGGATGATTTCTGGGTCAGAATAATTAATAAGCGCGGAGCATGACTGGGCCCAAAACAAAGCTTTAGCAGGGATCGATGGCATCGCTGGCGTCTCAGCTTTGTCGTCGCTCTGCCACATGCACACCAATAATCAATCAAAACGTCTTAAACAAATCACTCGAATCGCATGTGCAACTACCAAGAAAACACCAGCAAAGACCAAGAAATTACACAGCCGACGACTGGCTGACTGACGAACTGACTGACTGGCAACTTTGGCAATTCTGCACAAAACTGTGATGGACAACAGTCACGATTTGCATGTGCGACAACTGTTGCCAGAGCAACGGAGCAAGCCTCCAACAGCAGCAGCAGCAGCAGCAGCGGTGGCAACAAATCGCGGGGCACATTGAACTGTCATTGACACGGGCCAGACTCCAAGAGAACGTCAGAGCGAGAAACCGGAGACCAGAGTCCGGGCAGACACCTGTAGCAGCAGCAAAAGTTGAAAGGCAAAAGGCGAACTCCGCGCGCACAGTGGGCAAAGGCTCTCAAATAAGTGCGGAAAAAAAAACAATCTGTTTTAGATAAACAAAATATGAATTATTTCTATGCAAATTATTTATGAATATTTGACTATAAAATATAATTATTTAATAAGCTTCTGCCTCAGCTGTGTAAGTGGTAACTTAATGACAGTAATATCCAATATTCTGTTTACGCATTTTTCATCACTTTTCGCTCCACTGTGCACGCTCGTTCTGGGTTTGTTTTGGTGGTGGGTGCGGCGGTGGGTTTCAGTAGCCAGCCAGCAACAGCTGGATCCCAGCCCACAGCCGACAGCACCGCGCCTTCCCTCCCGTACTCTGACGCCAATTACTGCAAACAAATTCGAATGCGAATGCGCATTGAAATAGTGGCAAGGTTGGTAATTTAATACTCACGCCGCGACAGAGCAGAGAGCAGATAGCAGAGAGCAGAGTGCTGAGAGCGGGATGCCCGCAAAAGAGAGAGAGAGAGACAAAGAGCGCGAGAGAGCGAGCGGAGTGGGGAGAACCGTTTCTCTGTCGCAAATCCTCCACCCGCCTGCCCGTTCGTGATTGAATTGCTGATTTAACGGTTTCTGTTGTCAAATTAATGACATTCATTCATTCCATGTGGCCAAGCTTGGCCCAAACGGTAGTTTTTATTGCCGCTCTGGCAAATTGCAGCGCGTGTTATTACGAGTATTGTTGTTACAACATTACTGTGCCACTGCCACCGCCACTGCCACTGACGTTGTCATTGCTGTTATTAATGCAGTTATTAAGTATTTACAACTGCCGCCGCCAAGAACGGTTGGGACGGCCCGGCCCGGGTTCACCGTTGGGTGTCAGAGTGCAAAAGTTGAGCGCAAAGTTCTTGTCATTATTTGTTTGCGGCTTGTAGAACCCGGCTTTGGGTCTGCCTGCCTCGGATTTCCTTGTAAAGTGAAAGGAAACGCAAATCCTTGAGTTTAAGGCTTAATTAATGGCTCTTTTATATACTTTAATTAGTTGTTAATGATTTGCTGATTGGACTGGCGCGGGTGGTGGGCCCCCCATGAATCAAATGCTAACCAGACCGCAGTTGAGGGGCTTGGCAGATGTCAGGGTTGCCACGGGAAGTGGCACTCTAATGGCTCCGCCATGCCGGCAGCCAGTGATAGCAGCTAATGGCGGGAGTCCGGCAACTGGGTCAAGCAGCTGAAGAATTGTCAACACCAAGATACGGATTTTATTCTAAAAAGTTCTCCGATTTTTGGGCATTTAAACTTGGTGTTAATTTGAGTAATTTCTTATATTTTATTGCCTTTTCAGTAGCCAACAAAAGCAGCAGAAACCAAGCGTCTTCGAGTGAGAAGAAGTAAATAAAAATTTGCTACTAAAACATTTAAATTCTTGCTTGAGTTTTCCTTTATAAAAACCACTAAAACGAGTGCGAAAAATACACATCAATGCATTATAAATTCTTTGCTTAAATTCAACATTTAATCATATTTGATGGTACGCCCACGCCCACGCCCACCCAACCTGCCATTGACCCAAACTCCATTCCCAGTCCGTGGCGCCGCAGCTCCTCTTCCTGCTGCGCTGCTTGCCCCAGAAAAAAGAGCGAGTTGAGGCCAAATCAAACATGGCAGGCTAGACAAAATGCTTGTTGTCGATTTCGCGTTCGTTTTGGACAAATCCCCCAAACTAAAGAGACAGAAAAGCAGCAGCAGCCAGTGCCAGTTGTCTGCATGAATTGTGCTTGGAGCATGCGTAGCGTGGCGCAGAGACCACTCGATAAATAATATGGGAAAATGTTTTTAAATTTGTCACAACTTCAGCGATTGCGTGGCCGAAACAGCAAAAAATTTAAATACGTGACGGCTCCTAATAATATTGATCGGAAAAGCGATTTCCTCGCCAATTAGTCAAGGCTTATGGTGGCGTTAGGCGAGTGCTTAACACGGGCATGGAAATTGCCGCCAGATGGGCCACAGATAGGCGACACATGGGCACGCCGATAAGGTGGATCGACGGCTTAAGCGGGAGGGAGGGAGGTAGCGACCTGTCAATGTTCCACTTTGATTGATACGCCTCCATTCCACATTTTTTCGAAAGCCAGAGAGAACCAAGCTAAATGCAATCGTAATTCAAGTGCCCCACACATTAGGAATCGAAATCCGTGTCTGGCTATCGTTTTCTGCGCATTTTATTGCAAAGCCGCGGCAATAATCTAAATGCTCATATCAAAAACGCATGTCGGGGAGCAACACAAACCCAAACGCAAGAGACAAGACCAAACCCAAAACCATGACGATGGCAGTGGCACACGCAACAGGCGGAAAAGGAAAGGCATGGCTGCTCTTGATTTTATGTTTTGCTCAGTTTTGTGTCGCTGCAGTAACTCAATATGAACCACTTACACGTTAATTTAGGCACAAATTGAATTAATAAACCATGTTCGACATTGTGTGCGGTCCGGCCAGGGATGCCAGGAACCAACTCCTTTTCATATTTCATTAATTTATGCACGGATCACAGCTCAATGAACCACGAAAACAAGCGGCTTGGAGAACGGAAAACGGAGAACGGAGAACGCACCTCCTCTACCCAACGTTCGAGCTGGCCGAAACGGCAACCAAAATTTGAATTTACAAGCACGTAACCTGTGCGAACCCACCTCTCCCCTGCTGGCTTCCTTTCGCTTGAGCAAATGTTGACGTGATTGGCTTTGAATTTGGTGGTTCCTTTCGGTTCCTTTCCACTCGCTTGTAAATTAGAACACGATCGAAAATGTTGCCTCCACAATTTGCATGTCGCTGCTACCCATAAAAATGAGACCCCATGACGATGCTCTCGCACTCGGTTCGCTGAAGGAACCATGGAACCATGGAGCCAACTGTTGACCCGCGGCAAGTGTCCACCACTCGTACAAGGTGCGGCAGTTTCCGAGGTTTCCGAGGCAAGTTGCGTAAATCTGACTTTCATTTACACCT